GAGCAGGAAGGGGATGGGGCCTGGTAGGGGTCCCCCATGAGCTCCTCCCCCCATTCTCCAGCCCGCTGCCTACCATAGAATCCAGGTCCAGCTCCCTGAGGTAGTGAGCAGGGACTGCCCAAATCTCCCAACCTTTTCTGAATTGATTTGGCGAGCTTTAAATTGATTCAGACCTCTTAATTGGTCTCCTGATCCAATTTGGAATTGGGCCAAATCTCCTCTGAATCAAATTAGCACTCAAAGCTTTGCACAGGGCTAATGTGCATTAAATTATTTTTGCCACCTTGCACATGCTTCTTTTATCAGCAGGTCAAAGATAGGCAGTATATTTAAGGAGGTTTCTTTGTATGTGAATGTAACATGAGGGGCTTTTTTCCCCATGTTGATTGAGGGAGAAAACATCTTGTATTCAACTAAAGACACTAGGTAATCATAGTGTTTTGGCAGTTACAGGACCAAGCAGCTGCTGAGTGGGGGTTTTGAGGATTTAAATATTGGACTTTGGTGCCTAGAGTATGAATTAGTTCAGAACGTTTTCTTGATTTGGGGTCTAGGAGCTTGATTCAAAGCTGAACTAAGTCAATAATTTATTGACGCCAGTGGACTTTGGGCTCAACCCTAAAGAAGCCAGAGGAAAGTGTACCTGTGAGGTGAGGACATCAAAGGGATAAATGGGGTGAGCAAAGAAAGAGAAGTAACATGTGGGTTACCTTGCATGGATTTAACACAATTAATGAAACCTTCAAGAACCCTTTTTTAGAGACAAATCCAGATTTTTAATACTATTTAAGCCTGAAAGTCACAAAACCAAACACAGGCTGAAAGAGCCTACTTATCATGATGGCCAGGGCCACAATCAATAGACAGGTCAGTCAATGTAACATGTGGGCTGTGTCTTGATGGGAGGGAGCAGAGGCAGGGCTCGAATCAGATGGCAAACTTATAGGGTCCTCCCTGAAAGAGTTTTCTAGGGGCAGTGCTGAAGAGAGTTTCACTTATTTTTGAGTCTGATAGATACTGAGAGTTGATCTGTACCTCCCTCTGAGGAAAAGGCCTGTGCCCAGAATAGTGAAGACTTGCTTGGATAAGTCTTAAATTCCTGCCTTTGCTTGCAGCTGCCTAGCAAGTCCATGGGATTTCACTGAGCCATTTTAATACTGATGGTCAGACAGTTTGAACCCATTAGCTCCTAGGCATCTGAGTAAATTTGCTCCTTCAAGTTCAGCTCTCCAGCATATTTCTGCAATTGAATCCAAGGAAACCAGCAAAAATAACTGCAAATTTTAATAAGTGGCAGCCCTGTGTTGTAAGAGTTAAAGGCTAGAGCAAATATGCCTCTGGCTAGATCCCTATCCATGACCTCTCTTAATGGGCTTCCCCTGTGGGAGGATGAAGACCTGCCCGTGGAAGACTTATTGCTTTTTGAAGTTTCCTGGGAAGTTACCAACAAAGGTTTGTACAAAACTTAATTAGTTAATGTGACTGCTTCTGGGATTGTGGAGCAAAATGGATGCAAAAGTCATGCAGAGGGGACTGCCCAAGGGATCGTTTTGTAAGTGCAGCTGGATAAAGTGCTTGGAAATAAGGTTTAGGAAATTGTTTCAAAAGCAGTGTGTGCCATTCTGTGCATCACGTACATGAGAGGTTGTGTGTTCTACACATGTGCTACATCTGCATGTCTTTATACAGAATATCTGTGTATATGTGACTAAACAGATGTTTATGAGCCCCTGCTCCATGAATGGGAGTGTATACATACTGTACATGTGTGTCTGTAGAAAGATGGATGCCACTATGCACAATTTTATATGTTCTGTATGTATGTAAGAGCGTGGTTGTAAACTGAGGCCAAATCTTTGCGGATGCAAAGCATGAAAGCAGGATAGACGGTAAATCGTTTCTTCAGCCTTCCCTTGCAAAATGATTCTAAATTGGTGTGAACCATTGTAGCTCCACTGAAGTCAGGGAATAGAATTGATAAGGGAGCAGAGCTGCACCAGTTTATCCTGGTTAAGAATCAACTCTGCTTGCATTACAGGTAGAGCTTGCTGGGACCCTTCATGCCCTGTGCTTATGTACAGATTTGAGTCCTGCACACTGCACATGGCTCTTGATACTATGACCTTTCATTAGAGCAGCCTCAGCTACAAAGTTGCTAATCAAGCTGTCCTGCTTCAACAAAGCTGCTGGAACAATTCACCAAAGGGGAAGAGACACTAGTGTTGCAGCATAAATGAGTTACTATGAGTAAATGATTGATCCTGTGTATCTTGCTGCCAATGCAGATAAATAAAGAGGAGATTAGGTAGGAGAAAAGACTGATTTTAACCCTGAAGGAGAATTGTACATGAGAGCAGACAGTTGGAGGTCTTATGTGCTTGGAGAAATAACCCTGAATAGCTATTCTGTAGTGGCTCCCTGTGTGGACCTCTCCTATTTGGCATTAAAAATGCCTTTTTGGTCTTTTGGAGTAGATTAAGTTAAGGTCTAGGACACCCTTAATGTAGAATACGAATGTCCCTAAGTAGAGAGAAGTAGTCAGCCATTTTGGGCTGAAGTCAGGCAGAAGGTAGGCCAGGGTGGCCCCCCTGGAGACGCATCAGCCTTTGTGACAGCCTACTTTGTTAGATGCTGTGACAAAACATGCCATAGCCTACAAAAGCTTATGCATCTCTGAACATGTTAGTTTGTACAGTGCCACACTGTCCAGTGTTCTGTAGGGGAGTTTTACAGCACATAAACTGTTGCACTTTCAATTCACCTTAGTTTTATTTTCCATAGCTTCCACTTTAGGTTAACTTCTAATGCAAAGTATTCTCCAAGTATTATTTCAGTAGGGCTGTGAGAAATGGCAGCATTCCGCTTCAACTTCTGTTCCAACATTTCGATGGAACAGTGTTTTTGTTTTGAGTTTCATCTAGTTTCAAAAGCACTGTTCGTTTTGTTTTGTTGAAATGGTTTAGCTGTTTTGATGTTCTTCCCATGGGCTATAATGGGGAAACACAGAACAGACTATAACTTCCCCCCACCAGGCTCAGTTCCCCAGGGCTGCGAGCCACTGGGAGCTGAGCCCAGTGGAGGGAGGTGCTTCCCCCCACCAGGCTCAGTTCCCCAGTGCTGGGGGCCAGAATAGAGGCAGATTGGGAGAAGAGGCTGGCTGTGGCCCCAGCCTTCTACCTTCTGGCTAGATATGCAGGGGCAGGAGCCAGGCCCCCTTCCTGTGCTCCAATTGCCCAGGCCTGGACAGCAGCAGGAGACCTCGACACGGTGAGTCCTGGCCTGCTGCAGGGGCTTGACATGGGCTCCTGAGCCGGGCAAGGCAACAGGTGGCCACAGAGGCTGCAGTTCACCCGTGAGCCCTGCCAGCCTGGCTGCCAGCCCAGTCCCTGCTCTACCCAACCCCAGCCCTCTACTGGGGCAGACACTTTCACATGGCAGCCAGAGGAGATGGTCCTGGAGCAGGGTGAGAGAAGGCAGGGGAGTGGCTCCCAATCCCCTGGTGGAGAGGAGTGGAGAGGTCATCAAGAGTAGCTTGCTCCCCACCCCTCCCACCGCTGAGAGCTGAGCCTGGTGGCGGGAGGGGCTTCCCACCACCAGGCTCAGCTCCAAGCAGTTTGGAGCCCTGAGGAACTGAGCCCAGTGGGGGGAAGTGCCTTCTGCCACTGGGCTCAGCTCTAATGGCTGGCAGCGCTGGAGAACTGAGCCCAGAGGGAGGAAACAGAACAAAGAACTGGGCTGTGTTCCACCTCCTGCCACTGGGCTCAGCTCTAAGCGTTTCACAGCCTGGTGGTGGGAGGCAGGCAGAGCTGGCGCTGCGCTCCAATCTGTTCTGCCAGCCCCATGGAGCTTAGCTCGGTGGCAGGAGGCAGGAAGAGCCAGGGCTGTGCTCCATGCCAGGCTGAGTCGCATGGGGCTGCGGAGCCTCTCGGAGCACAGCCCTGGATGTCCTGCTTCAAAATTTGAAACATTTCAAAACTTTCAAAATGTTTCAATTGGCCTCATTTTGTTTTGAGACCGTTTTGAAGCCCTTCATATAATTTGATTTCACTGTTTTGAGCTCGAAATAAGTTGAAACAGTGTTGAAATGAAACAGCTGGTGAAGGTTCGCACAGCTCTAGTTCTTTAGCATTCTGTGTGTGGTAAGCAACTGGCAAGTAGGTGGCAGCAGAAATCTGGTTAAATCAGTGTTCTAAATAATTGGCAAACGAATTCCACAGTGTAAATCTTCCAAGTCCTTTTGAAATATGGTGCAACGGATTAAAAAAGAAGAAAGGGGAAAAAAATGACTGGATTTGTCATTTTTTTCTGTGTTTGCATAATACACTTTGTGCCATATCTTCATCCATATAGCTCTGTATATCTAAGGGCATCTAGCCGGATTCTGATTATCTAAGATCTAGTCCAATATTAGAATTACTAAATGTAAGTAAAGTATGCTGACAGTTACACAAAGCAATTAACTGGTACATAACAAATGAACCTCAGCCTGACAGTTGGTTACTTTAGTCACAGCAATTAGCTTATTCATTAAATAAGAACCATCTTTCAAACTATCCATTAATTGATCATGACTAGGAACACATGAGCAAATAAATTAATTTGTAAACCTATTAGGACAGGTGTGGCTTGCAAGTCCTTTGCAGCATGTACTCCTTCAAGTATTGTATCCAGTCAGTGTGACTGGAAATTGAAGTTGTATGGTATGATACTTCTTCCTGATCGCCTAACTTTGATTAACAGCAGTGGTACCTGAGGAAATTTTGGGGACATTAGTTCTCTCATTAGGGAGAGGGGGAGCAGCACTTCATGGGGAAAGCTGGAGGAGAGGATAAACAGACAAAGGAAACATTAAGAGATACTGTGTATTTTACACAAGAAAAAACACTGGGTCTAGCTAATACTCCTTAGAGAGCATGAAGGAGATCTATAAACTAGATTTGTTACCTAGGAATTAGCAACCTTTTAGCAATGGGTGACTGGTGCCACCTGAGTCAGGGGGTCATGTCCCCCAGCAGCCAATCAGTGAATGAGGGGGGAGGGGTTTCCCTTGCAGCTGATCACACTGACGGGGCTGATTGCACAAGCCGGGAAGTGTGAGTAGTGCTTTTGGAAGTGGCTGTGGTGCTCCTGGTATACTAGCAGTGCTTCACCTGGTACTCCCACTCCCTGGCCAGCACTCGCAGGGGGGTACCAGTGCTCCCACTTGCCCCTCTTGTCATCACTTAAGTGGGGGGTGCACCAGCACTCTTGGGGGGGGGGGGAGGGAGGGGG